TGTTTCTCACCAGGTGTTTTCAGTTCATCAATTAGTTGTCAGTGTATTTAAGTCCTGTCTCGTCTCAGTCTTTTGTCGGTTCATTGTGTTCTGTTCCCCCTGCCTGTGTGAACCTCGTCATCCTGTAAGTTTGAGCTGTTTCTACAGCAGTTCTTTTGTTACTTTAATAAACCTTTTTTGTTCTACTTTTTGGAGGCTGCACCCTGGATCTGTTCCTGCCTGATTTTGACGCTTGGCTTTAACCATTCCATGCTGTTTGTATTTGGTCCATATCTTGGATACAGCTGACTGAACAGCCCACATCTTTAGCTACCATGCATGAAGAGTTACCTTTTTCAAGAAGTTTCACAATCCTCTCTTTTGTTTCAAGAGACATTTCTCTTGTTGGAGCCATGGTTCTTGCCACTCCACTTCATCCAGCAGCCCTCCAAGGTGTCATGACTGKAGGTGTTTTTAACTGCAGACTAATGAGCASATCWAATCTGAGGCAGGTGTCCATTTAGGGAAAGGAAATTGACTGGGTGTGTCCTTATTTTCTACCTCCAATTTGAGTGATTCCATACTTTTTTCCTCAGAATTGAGTGATTCCATATTTTTCCCTGTACTTGGTCAATAAAAGTAACATTCACTGACTTCCACAATGTTTTCTCTTCATTTCTTTGAGTGTTCCTGAAAGCCAACAAGTTGCACTTCGGAATGACCTTATTATTGTGTCATGTTTTTGATCTGAGTTTGTTTTACAGAATAAAATGTCTGAATGAGTGCTCATCCAAGACTGGTAATTCCATACTTTTTTCCAGGGTTGCTCACCATGGATTGTTCATAACGAACACCATGTTCAAACATAAGGGCGTCCATATGTGCTCTTGGCACCAGGACACACTAAGCTGCAGTTCGATGATTGACTTTGTTGTCATCTCATCTGATTTGCGGCCGCATGTCTTGGACACTCAGATGATAGGGGATGTCAAGTGATCACTACCTGGTYGTGAGTTGGCTCCGATGGTTGGGGAGYATGCCGGTCAGACCGCAGAGTGTGTTCCAACTATAGGGGGATCGTACTTCTAAGCCTCCCTGGTAAGGTCTATTCAGGGGTCCTGGAGAGGAGGGTTCAGGGAGAGCAGTGTGGTTTTCGTCCAGGTTGTGGAACACTGGACCAGCTCTAGACCCTCAGCAGGGTCCTGGAGGGTGCATGGGAGTTTGCTCAACCAGTCTACATGTGTTTTGTGGACTTGGAGACGGCGTTTGATTGTGTCCTTCTGGGAGTCCTGTGGGGAGTACTCTGGGAGTATGGGGTGCCAAGCCCATTGATATGGGCTGTTAGGTCCCTGTACGACCGGTGCCAGAGTTCGGCTGCATTGCCGCTAGTAAGTCAGACTCATTTCCGGTGAGAGTTGGACTCCACTAAGGTTGCCCTTTGTCACTGATTCTGTTTATAACTTTTATAGACAGAATTTCTGGGGGCAGCCAAGGTGTTGAGGGGATCTGTTTTGGTGACCTTAGAATATAATGATAATACTTCCCCCCGAGCGAAATTACAGGTATTACAGCTGCAGCCATTCAGATCAGAGAAAGGGTCGCATCTCTACTTTTTGCGAATGATGTGGTCCTGTTGGCTTCATCAGATCGTGATCTCCAGCTCTCACTGGAGCGGTTCGCAACCGAGTGTGAAGCGGCCGGGATGAGGATCAGTGCCTCCAAATCTGAGACCGTTGTCTTGAGCTGGAAAAGGGTAGGGTGCCTTCTCCGGGTCAGGGAGGAGGTCCTGCCCCAAGTGGAGGAGTTTAAGTGTCTCGGGGTCTTGTTCACAAATGAGGGAAGAATGGAGCAAGAGATCAACAGGCGGATTGGTGCTGAGTCTGCAGTGATGCGGGCGCTATTTGATCTGTCATGGTGTGAGAGCTGAGCCAAAAGGCGAAGCTCTAGATTTACCGGTCAGTCTACTTTCCTACCCTCATCTATGGTCAGGAGCTTTGGGTAGTGACCGAAAGAACAAGATTGCGGATACAAGCGGCTGAAATGAGTTTCCTCCGCAGGGCGTCTGGGCTCTCACTTAGAGATAGGGTGAGAAGCTCAGTCGTCCAGGAGGGACTCAGAGTAGAGCCGCTGCTCCTCCACGTCCAGAGGAGCCAGATGAGGTGGCTCATCTGGTCAGGGATGACCCCCTGGTGAGGTGTTCCAGGCACGTCCCACTGGTAGGAGGCCCAGAAGAAGGCCCAGGACACACTGGAGGGACTATGTTTCTCAGCTGGTCTGGGAACACCTTGGGATTCCCCCAGAGGAGCTGGCCCAAGTGGCTGGAGAGAGGGAAGTCTGGGTCTCTCTGCTTAGGCTGCTGCCCCCGAGATCTGACCCCGGATAAGTGGAAGAAAACGGACGGAGGGACAGACAATGCTTTGGTCTGAATTCCTCCTTATTTTAACTTTACCAGCCCCTCTTTCACCCCTTTTCTGATGTGTGTTTCAAAGCAGCTGGTTTTAACACTGTTTCTTRAAGGAGCTTTAAGCCCTGCCCCCTCCTGCTTCCAGACTGGTCCACTCCGGTTTGAGAAAGGGGGTTAGCGGCATTTTCTAGCATTTAGAAACATTTTATTTACAATTTAATCAAAATATGTCAGCAACAGAAGACTTATCCATCCAGCCTTACATGTTGGAGTCAGAGTCTGACCCAGAACCAGAGGAGAATTAAGACGAGGAAATTGTAGCTTATTTGGCAATTTCTTCGCAGATAATTTGATGTAATAGTTCAAAAAACATGATAGAAAATAGAAAAAACTGAATGGGTAGAAAAATATGACCCAAACAGAATATAAAGATGTCTTTGCAGCACCAGGAGGGACTAAACTAAAATATTTTACACTCCTAGAGCCTCCAAGTACACAACAAAATGTATTTAACAGCTAAAAAGTGGATTTTGCATATGTCCCCTTTAATACTTGAGACTTTGGTCTCTTTAAAAAGTCTTTAGTTTATAAACAGGTTATTAATGCTAGAATTAAAAACCTTAAAACTACATAAGACTGTTTTGTTTTGGTGAAAGCTGTTACTTCTCTTGATAACATCTTTAAGAGCAGCAGATGAAAATATTTAGCCTGCCCAGGTCTCCATCAGTTTGTTGGAGTTTTCTCTGCAGGACAGTTGCATCTGGAAGTATTTTTGTCCAAATATCACTTCACAGCAGGTGGAAGCTTTTAAGATGTGCCAGAGTATGAGATTAGCATGCAGAAAGGAGCAGGGATATTAGATTTTATTCAAGCTGTGGCATAAATTTACAGATTGAAATCCTTCTCACCCTTTTCTCCATGAAGTCATTTTTCCTGAAACTCTTATCAGTAACTGTCAGGCAGTTTTCTATATGTGCTTAAACAAATTGTAGAGTTTTAATTGAATTTAGAAATCAAAGCTTTTCTGAAGGCAGACCAAAAGCAAAGATTTCACCCGTTGTACCTGTCTGGGAGTAACTAGAGGAGCCAGATGGGCCTGGAAGGTACTGCGTCTGTCTGTGACGGTGTCTCCGTGTTTGATTGGCGGGACCTCCTCATCTGCAGGATCACAGTGTTACACTTAATAACGCATGGTTTTATGAAGCAGGGGCAGATTACAATGAGCCGTACCATTGTCTTGATCCAGGAACAGAAGCTCTTCCTGTGTGTGCTGCGTGAGAGCGCTGAAATCAGGGACATCTTCATCATCCTCCTCTTCCTCCTCGGCTGTCATGTTCACTTGTCCTGGCTGATCCGCTGAAGCAGGTGAMAAGAAAAGAACCGCTGCGTAAATGGCCTTTTTAAAATCCCAGACTGTTGCTGTAAAATCTACCCTGTTTTCACACAGAACAGCAACATTTCAGAAGTCACTGTGACTTTATTACTGACAGCAGAAAGTAAGTAATTACTTGGAAATGTTTGATCTGATCTGCTYTAGATTAACTGATTAAATATGTTGCAACATGATAAAGGAAGTTCTCATTAGCTCGAGTTCTACAGAAACCCAATCACTGTGCAGAATAAAGCTGGTTTATCACCCAAAGACATAAGGATGAAAAATGTGTGAGTGCACTGTAAAAATAAATTGTAAGATTTGCTTGAGAAAATCCTGTAAACAATTTGCACTAACGTTTGGTAAGTAAATTTAAATGCTACAAATTCATGTAATATTTACTCTCATCATTATCTAGTAAAAGTTATTAAGAATATAGTTAAAGATTTGTGAATAAATCAGGTAAATTTTACTTAATTTGCTCAATTAAATCTTGTAACATATAGTTGAGCAAATTAAGTAAAATTTACCTGATTTATTCACAAATCTTTAACTATTCTTAATAACTTTTACTAGATAATGATGAGTAAATATTACTTGAATTTGTAGCATTTAAACTTCCTTAAACATTAGTGCAAATTGTTATGAGGATTTTTTCAAGTAAATCTTACAAGTTCTTTATAACAGTGCACATGTGTCAAGCACAACATTGTAGCATGACACCTCACAGCTACAGAGAGAGGTGTAGCTCTTGTAGTTCTAGACTTCACCACCAGGTGGCAGTTTTGAAGAACCTTTATTGGATTCTTCTTCATGAACAACACAGACAAAGTGAAACTCACAGGTCTTATTAATGACTAGGCCTACCACTCTCACTTATGGTTACTTCTGCTGAACGCTTTAACACAAGTTAACAAATAATGAACACACAAATTAGAGTAACACAACAGACTAATTGCTGAAAGAACAATGTTAACCYATTCCCTAAAATGATTTAACAACAACAAACATGAATCCTACCCACAATCCTCCACTGCAGTCACATGACAAACAGCCAAACACAGCAGAATGCTACAATATGCATTCCCTGTTCCCTGACAACTAAATATCACCTACATTATGTCATCAAACTATTGCACACCAACAAATGTATTCAAGCAAAAGAAAGCAGACAACTTGTGTTTTATTTCCACCATGTCTTGTCCTCTCCTTGAAAAGTGAAGCAAGGGAATGAGGAGCAGCAGCCTTTGTGTGTGCATGCAGCCTCAGTTTTAGTCCAGAAGAGTAGAAGTTACTTAATATATTCATGTTTATGTGCTGTCCAGAAAAAAAAACTTAAATATTACTGGTGAAATAATATTAGCAGTTACTTTTTTGTACAGTACTATTGATAAAGAATATAATGTGTACTGTTTATTTAGTAAATTCTAGTAGTTTAGAGATTTTGATACTTTTTTTGTAAAATTTAAAAGAATAATTAAATAAATGTTACTACACCCAAAAATCCTTTTTTTCAGTGTGGGGTAAGTGTCACTTTACTATAAGATGCTCTCAGTCAAAAACTCTGACAGTAAAGACGTAGGTGAGCTGTATTCTGTCTTTTATTTGTTAATGAAGACAACAAAACCAACAACAAATTAGATAGCTGTCAGAATATTTTTATAATCTTTTGTGTTCATTGTTGTTTTTATGCTTTTTAGTTGTTATTTATATTTTTTATGTGTTCTGTTTCTCTGTGCCACTCCTCATTTGGTCGATTTCACTCCATCACTTGCCCTGCCCACTCTCACATGTTCCTCAGTGTCATTTTGCCAAGGTGTCTCTACCTTGTCCTTCTTCAGTTGATCATTATGTGATATTTGTGCCAGCTGTCCGCATCCTTGTTCTGTCAGTCTTTTTTTTTGTTTTGTTTTACAATAAAAAAGTTTTATTTTTGGAGCTCAGTGAGCATCTTTGGGTCCAGCCTTTACAACCGTGACAAACTGCTACTTGCTTCAAAAAGCTTTTCAGAAACTTTTAGGCTTTGGCCAACTGGTGAAGGTGTATAGAAATAAAGCATGTCACAAATAGGCAATAAATAAATTATTTCCATGATAAATTAAAATAAGGTCAATAACTGTTTGTTTTGCATAAGACCCCCGTGAACATGTATTCAGTTATAGGACCATCTTTGGTTTTCTGACACTTTTTTCAGCAGGTCGGATGCCTCAGGACATCATGCCGAAGCTTGGGTTTGCCAAGTTTTTTTTATATTTTTATTGTTTTTTACACCATGTAAATTTCATAAAGCAATGGCAGGTGACCTCAGTTATTTTTTGAAGCCAGAGGAAGACACACAGAATAAATTGTGCTGGCTTGGATAGAGAAGGTGGGTGGTGATGATATTACAGCTTCACTAAATGTAGTTGTGTGTTTTCACCAACTCTGTTCCCACTCAGTTAGTAACTTTTTTTTTTACGTCCGTAAATCTCATAGACTTCCGTAAACTTCGGAAGTGTGTGTGGGCTAGTATTCCCTACTATGTGGGGACCATTTTTCCATGTCCATCACTCACTGACAGCACTCTTAATAAGATAGGCATTCATATTAATAGAGCAGAATTTAAGCTTAAATTATTTATTGCAAAATAATAAAGATTAGATGTTTCCAAGTGACAAGGTAATGATCGCACTTGCATCAAACGTCATGATTTTACTGCAGTTGCATAAAAAAACAGAAGAAATCAAATGTTTAAAGTTTAACTTTCTGTTTCCGGCTTAAACTTTGACTGGTGTTTCTTCTGTGGTGCAGAGCTCCAAACTGGGCTGGGTTTCCACACTTGTTTTGCCAAATTCCTTTTGTTGTATGTGTAGGCGTCTTATACAAGTTTTAGCAAATGTCCTCTATACCAGTGGTTCCCAAACTTTTTATCTTCTGACCCACGGCAAAAACCTGTGACCCCAAATATTACTGGTCTGAGTACACGAACTTTGTTAATAACCCTAAAAACACAGGCTTTTTGACAATCTAAACAGCTTGTACACAAATATAAATACGTATTTATAC